TAATTTACTTTTTAAAATTCAAGGTTTCAATATGTAGGCACTTGCTGGTTTGTCCCTCCCTGTGCTGGATACTTTCTCTTCTAGCAACTTTAGGAATCTTTTTATTCAGATCTTTCTCATGACAATAACACAGTCATGAGTTCTTCACCTTGAAGAACTGCAGCAAAATCCAGTTCTGGAGTGAGTATAATAAAGAACAACTTTAGCTGTAGTTGAGGTGTGTATTAGCCCTAAATGCCTTAAGAAATCTGCTGAATTTATTGTAATTTTTCCTCTTGGAACTTAGAGCTAAAAGCAAATCATAAGGCAACCACACAGTCTTTTTTGTTACTCCCAGCACCCTTGGTGTTGCACAGGAACCTCCATCTGACACTCCTTGCAGGGTCTGATGCCCTGTTTGGGATCCAGCGAGTGGAGCTCACATATCTGATTCTGCAAGCTGGCACCTGCCAGTAAGGACAGGCTTGCAGCTTATTTTAGCATTGTTCACCCAACACAATAAAGAGGGGATTTTGAAAGTCAGCGTTCCTGAGGATAGGTAGAATGAAGGGGAATGGTTCTAATCTAATTGTAAATGCCCTGGTTTTAAAACACTTCTTGTCAATAAATCTTTCCATTAACAGACATTCTGGCCGCCTGCAGTACAGTCAAATCAGGAGCCCAGCTCCAGTTATGATATTATATTTCCATTATTCAGGGCATTAAAAAATGTAGAAAGTTACATTAAATTTAAAAATGTGTTCAGTCTTCAGAAGCTTGTTTTGGTAGAAGTACTGAGAATTTCTCAGACTGTGATGTATTTTCACCATTCTGCCTTTAATATTGCAGTTAACACCTATAAAAGGGCCTGTTCAGAAATCTATCTACAGACTGAGCATAGGGTTGAGAGTAGGAGATTTGGAGCTACAATTATGTTTTTGCAGCCAAGTTGCTGTGTGTGCTCAAGCAGCTCATTTTCCAAATATACAGTGAAGGAAATCATGTTTCTCCATCCCAGTGATTAATAATGATGGTTTATAGCTAGTTAATATTTTTAAGCATTTGGAATTGCCTACAAAGATGTAAGTAGAATCCTTTTCCCCACTGTATTGCTTCTACCACTACAAACTCAGACATGGAAATTGAGCTGAGTTCTCTTTCTAACAACTTTTGTGTTGACTTTTTGGTTGCTGTCCAGTTTTCTTCAAACTGCTGTCAGTCTAAGGCAGGTAAGGGGTATTCTTAGCTTTCTATTTCTTGCCTGCTCCCACGTCCCCCAGCCCTGAATCTGCCCCCATTTCTCTGATGCTGGACCTATGCAGAGTATTGTGATCCCTCTGGACATTGAGAACTGGTACCATGTACAGCATATTAAGACAAGGTCTGACTGACTGGGCTATACTCACGTGACTTGGTGTCAAGTCTAACTCTTAAAAAACCCAAAAACCAGTTTGTGAGGTAGGTTATCTCATACACTTTTCATTTCTTTCTTATTCTAATTTATTTCTTTTGTTCAAAATCTTTTTATTAGAAGCAGAAATCTCCATCTACTTGTGGCAGCTTTCCTCCAATGCTATCCTGAGATTCACTAGTGATGTTCTATAAATGCAGCCAAAATCTATCTGCAAGAACATCTGCTCAACCTGTGCAAACCTGATGTAATTACCGGCCATCATCTTTTATCCTCCTGCTGGGGCAACTGCTCCAAACATGAATTTTTGCCCTGAACTAAAAAGAAACTTGCTGTTATGTACAAAACCTGCCACAGAAAACTAACATGGTTTATACACAAATTCTAATGGAATCTTTCAGCTACAAGAGATAACAAATTCCCAAGTAGCATGAGTCTTATTTAAATTTTTTCATGTTCTTATTGGCTGCATCTGCTTTGTGCATTGTTGTTCTGTGAGATAATTTTTAAGGGGTGGCAATAATTATACAAAAAAACTCTTTTCAAGAAATATAAAAAAGATGTTGCAGATGCTCAAATTTGACTGCAATTAAGTTATAACAGGATGTCATTTATATGTGTGTGTAAACAGGTGATGGATATGAGGAGATGGATTTTCTGTACATATAAACAGTAAGTGTATACTGTATTTGTTTGTAGGAAAAACACAAATTTCCACACTATATTGTACTAATGCCAGATAATTGTTGCAGAAATCATTGATATACAGCCCATACCTGTCAGCAGCTTTTTTGTGACTATGTACTGATACCTTCCTCTCTGGGAATTGTTTCCAATATTGCAAACCTCCAAGGATTTTCAATTAATTACAATCTTCTCTCTCAAGCGATCTGATAGAGAAATGCTTCCATTTTCCTTGAGCTGTGGAACTGGGCCATCTACCTCGGTAATCAGTTTCACATCCAGAGTCTCTGGCTGGCTTTTCAGTTAGTGAAATTGTAATGTGGTTTCTAAGTGTAAAACTCTGAGAACCCCAGCACAGGAAATGTTATAATTACAGGGTCATACATTTCTCAAACAACATTGGTTTTACCTCATTCCTTGGGAAAAGCATCCAATTTTGATTGCATAACCTTGTATCTCAGGTATTTAGGCGAAATCACCTCACCTACAGTTTGCCAGTTAAACTGTAAAAAAAGGCAGGGAGATCTGGACTGCTGGAATACAACCAGAAAGACCCAGCAAACCAGCATTATTTGATGTGCAAATGCAACATGCACAGGATGAGGTTTCCACTGCATTTCTAAGTAAATTCATTTACAAACCCCAGCTTAACTTCTGGCAGAGCATCATGTCAGCATTCCCTGCCTAAGAATATGTGTCTGTGGGACCCAAGGCAAGAGCTCCTTGTTCAGCAACCTCTCTGCTTCTAATCCTTTATGACTTCCAGACTTGTATTCTGGTTCCTAAGATTTTGATCATCCCTTAGACCTTTGGTGGGATGATGTCTCCATAGCTGCAGCAGATAGGGCTGTGGTAAAATGGGCTATTTTCATTGATTTAGCAATGTCCCAGACACACAAGTGAGAATTCCTCCTCAGAGGTAGCAGAGGCAGGTAAATTTTGGCACTAAGGGGCACTGTTTATGATATATATGTATTTCCATGCAGAATGGTGGGGTTTGCACATTCTCTGCTATCTTCTGATTGTGAGTTACTCCTAATCAACCCATTTTCAGTACTGAGGTCCACAGGCCTGCACTAGGCTGCACCAACAAAGAAATTTTGTCAGTGATGGTAACTTAATTAAATACTTCAAAGACATCGACAGTGACATTTATTCACCTCTTCACACAGTTGCCCCAGACTTTTGTTAAACCTGTTGATATTTTTATTTCTCTGGATAGCCTTCCTATTGCTGCATGTCTGTAGTTTATCATCTGAGGAAAGAAGCAATTGCAATGACAGAACTAGACCTTGTTATGCTGTGAGTAATATTACATACAGTCCAGCACTTCTGGAGGAAATCTTGAATGCTGGTGCTTTATATACATGATAAACAAGGGGAATTTGGTTTGTATTTGAGATAATTTATGGTATAGGCTGCTTCATGTCTAGCTGCTGCTCTGCTGTTCTTTCATGCCAAGATTCATTACCCTTAATGGGTTGGCTAACATCTCTGGGACTTCTCTGAAGGTCTGTTAAAGAGCCCTAAAAGAAGAGGATACAGATTTTAGCTTCACATGTTTTTCATAAATGTTTTAGACATTTGGAACATGTCATTAAAATTTTTCAAAAGGAACAGAAGGAAAGCATAGTACTAAGTATTTTCTTCTTCCTACTCATTTTTGAGTAATTAATTTTGGGTAATGAATTTTCTGCTTATTGAAACATATTTTGCCTGTTGTTCTTTGCCTGTTGATTAACAAAGAACTAGGTTATCATATTGCTCAGTAAAGGCAGCATTGAGTAGTACTCCATGTCTATTCCATATGAATCTGCCTCCCTAAAATTCTGGTTTGTGCAAACCAGATCCTCTCTTAACAGCTAATCAAACTCTTTGGAACCCGATACCAGTTTCAGGCAATTTTTCAGTGCTTACTTAATTGCCCTTTTCATCCACTTTGACAATGTACTGTAGTAAAAATACTAATTATTATTCCTACCATTTTCATCTGAAAGAGTAAATAGCATTAGAAGGGGTGCATAGCATATTTCCCCAAGGCTGAGGCCAGGAATTGCTGAAAGTATAAAATCAAGTTGTATTCCAACAAAATTTCCAGACCAATGTTATTTAGATACCCGAAGTTGCAATTTACAAATTTTTATATTAAAAAGCTAGGTCAGCTGCAATGTATGAGATTTGGATTTTATTAAAAGAACACCAAAAGGCGCATTTCAAAATTAATTATGCATGCTTGTAAGTATGTGTAAGTGAACACCCTTAAAATCTATACACAGATTAGATTTATAGAGTAAAATTCAATAGTATTTTACAAAGCAATAAAAGTACTTGTAGATTCTCATGAAAAATATCAATATATTTTAGTTTTAATAATGACAATGTTTAATAAATGAGATCCAGTTATCAGCTTCATGGGTACTGCAATGTAAAATCTTTTCTTGCATACCTAGGCATTTAATCTTTATTTTTTACCAGTCTTCTCAATTTGCTTTTACTATTTCTCCAAATTTTTGGTTTGATTTTTTTTTTTTTTTTTTTTTTTTACAACTTTTTCTTTGAATTTCAGGATGAGTAGTTTCATGCAGAAAGGTTATTTATTGTTGTAAGCATGTCTGGCAGGGAAATGGGTGTAGCGTGTTTCAGTGATTTTTGCATAGAGTACAACATAATTCTTTTTATATCTCTTGGCTGAAAAGGAATCTTGCAATCTACGGTCCTTGAGAGCTGTTGTCTTCGTATTTTCCTGTATTGATTCTGGAAATGCAAACAGATATAGAATAATCTGGTTTATTTCACTGAATCCTCTCTGGCTTATACCAGACTACTAGGCTGTTACCTACTACTGAACATCAAATGGCAACAAAGCACTTGAAGGAAAAATTAATTTTTCAGAGATGAGGTTGTCTTTTTCTCCAGGCTCCATGGGGTACACCTGCCCTAGAAGTGGGTATCACTGATTCTGTGTACCTTTTATGTGACCTTCAGATTAGCACAGAAATTATTCCCCATTGCTGCAATCACCACCTTTGAAGAAACTCCCCATTTCCATTCCTTCTCCTCTGAGCTGTGAAGAGGAGCTCACAGCTCCAGAGTGGCCAGACATCTGCATGTGGTTATGTAAGTACAAAGTATTTGGAGTGAATGTTGCAGTGTGGGATTGGTGGTGGATTTTAAAACGTGCCCAGGTGCTGAAGCAGGAGGTGTTTGTTACTGCCCATTTAGCAAAGCACCGGCAGGACCCCTGTCAACCTTCTGCGTGTGACAGTGGGAGCAGCCCCTGCTGTAAATGAGGATCAGCCTCTTCAATTGTTTTTTCCCTTTTGCCTTGGTGCTCTATTTGGGAGCGTGCATTAAGTTAAATCTGGTATTGGCTCACTCAGCTGGTGCCACTCTGCCTCCTCAGAGCCAGAAGGACAAGCGGACAAGTTGTTTTCTGCTTTATTAAGAGATTTGAAGGTCAGAGCATCAAAATGGTAATTTCAATCAGAGCCAGTCTGGTTGCTCAGCAGACTAGCAGAGCTACTGTAGGTTGCAGATCCTAATGCATGCAGAGACTGTGATCTAATTCTGAGCGCTGCTTCTTGGGTCAGATCTGGTTGAGTCAAATCGTGATGCACCAGCCCCTTGGATCGCTCCTGAGAGGCTGCCTCCCACCTAGGTGGCAGCAAATAAAATACAAAGAAGAAAGGAAATGGAGACTTTGCTTTGCTGAACAAGCACAAATTTCTGCTTTAAGGATTAGCACTTAGAAAATTACCCACTGTTCCCTTTAGTGTAATCTCAGCAGACATACTAAATTCAGTGTCAAAGTCTTTGCAGGTACTGTCAAGTGCCAGACAGAGGCTCCTTGCAAATGGATGGGAGTAGAAAGCAGGGACTGGAAGAAAGAGAACTGATTAATTTCCTATTGTCTCTCAATTAATCCTTGTAGTGCCAAATGCTGTAATGTTAACTACAACAGGAGATATTGTTTGGAAGTCACATTTTTATCCAAAAAAGAGAGAGGGACTGCAGTGGCTTGTTTTCAGGTGTAAATAAAACACTTTTTCTTGACAGTATAATAACTAATGGGGATTTGTAGGCTTTTGAAGGAATAGCAGGTTTTTTTAAACAAATATACAATAATTTCTTGGCCCTCACTACAGCCCTCCCTGGATGCATAGGTCTGTGCCCAGCCCCAGCACACTAACAATAGCAGAAACAGCAATTATATAACAACTGTGAGTACCATTTTCCAGACACCGTGGGTACTGTATTAGGAAAAGAAAAAATCCCAAGCAAACAAATTAGGAAAATGAAAGTATAGCACAGCACTTAATCACGTAGGTGTCTCATTTAAATCAGTGGGTCAACTCCTTTTTGTGTAATTATGCAGGTTTTTAAGACATGCTTGATATGTCATGAGACTGTTATGTTATAATTGCAGCTATTCATTTCCCTTATGTTTGCCCTACCTTTGGAAGAAGGAATGCTCCTGTTGTACTGGTCATGGGCAGCTGATGTACAAGGTGGGGACTTTTTAGCAAGAGCTAGTGAGAACTGCAATAGGATGCCCAGCCACAGAGTCTTAGTTAAAAATAACTGCTTATTGCTGAAGAGATGGTAAATTACAGAAGTTGCTTGACTCCAGTGATACTACAGCAACCCTGCAGTAGACAATGAAAGTGCCAGGGTAAATGGCATCTGCTGCCTTCCCTGTACTCTGAAAAAGTTGAAATCACTGGAAGCCAGTGCAGGTAGGCATAATTACAAATGGGGAACTCAAGATGGAGTGCAGGTGGTGGGAGAACAGTAGTAAAATGATGTGTTTTATGTTACTGGTGTCCCGTCTTTTATTTACTTTAGTCTGCTGGCAGGATGTTTGTCTGTAAACATTACCACAAAACACTTAAACAGGAATAAAAGTAACTTTTATTGAAGAAATTTAAAAGTAGTCTCTGGAAAACATGCAAGAAACACCATGTGGACTCCACATCATCTTCAAAGTAGAGCGAACACAGCAGGGATCCGCTACTGTCACCAAAACCAAATCAAAATTGCACCGTTTAATATTTATATAATTGAAAGTACAAATCCAGTTTGCTGCCTGAAAGTACCTCTCATGACAGCAAAAAACTCATCTTCTCAATCTTGTAATAGCATCAAATTAATCCTGTAGTTTCAGTATAACCAGCAACATCAGGAAAAGAGGGCTTACCACATATTGCAAAATACAACTTTCCATTCTTTAAACTAATTAGAGAGGCAGCCAGTAGCACCACTATGGTTCTGCCAGCATTTCCACAATAAAACCCCCTTTTCAGGGCTTTATAACTTGGCTGTAAAAAATTAGCTTCAGGCTGAAGCTTGGCATACTGTGGTTCACCCCAGCAGCAAATCAAGCTGTGCATGTGGTTATGTGTGTGGTTTGTTGATTGTTTCCTAAATACAAATCTTAATTAAAATTAATTTTGCCCCTTCTTGGAAGACAATGATAAAATAAACAAAATTTTAAATAAGCAAAGTTACATTATTTGGCAGGTTCTTTCAGCAAGTTGTTAAGAGCATGGAAGTTTGAGGTTCAAAGGGTACAGACTTGTGATGCTTTTTAGTTTGAAATTAAATCATCAAGGGAAGTTTGAACACAGGTTATTGCACTTGCATGATGAACTTATTTCACAGGGTGTGATTGACTGCATGAAAACCACCAAGTGGCTTTGATAGAAAAATTCCACGTGAGAGTAGCTCATGTGAGGGCACACAGCCCTTGGAGCCCTTGGAACAGCTGTGCCAAAGGGAAGATCTGTGTCCCCTGAGCTGCAGCACTGTCCAGGCCACTAAAAGCTCATGTGGAGCAGCCATCAGCGCCCTTCTCCCCTCTGCATGTAGCAGTGGCAATGCCAGCCTTTCCCAGAGATCAAACTGAGTCATCTCCTCCAGCTGTGGGTGGCACACTGCTGTTTGTTGAATTTCTGTATTATGGATGATCTCGATGCATTATTAGTTCATAAGTGTCCACATAACTCGTTATATTCACACATTTTGCAGTGACCTGACTAGCATAAATAATCTTGACTGTAAATGTTTCTGTTTCAGCATCACTGGGGTCTGTAAGAGTGCCCAAGAAGTCACGTAACTACCATTCACCTGGAAATGCTGCAGGATGGACAGAGAAGTGGAAGAATGTGAAAGAAAATCAGAAAGGCTGGTAAGACAAGCAAAACTGACTAATTGTTTTTTTCAGGGGAGTTTCTTAATTTTAATAGAGTTGGATGTTTTGTTATTTTTCTTCAGCATTTTAAAAAGTTAATAATAGTTGATGGTTAATAGGTAAAATAGGTTAAAAAAATAGGTAAAAATATGCAAGCCTTGGAAGCTAAATTTGCTTCTTCCAAATAAGCAAAGAAAAAGACTCTAAAAACACATAAGAGATGGAGAATGTCATCAATATGCAGTAACATGCTCTCCAAATCATTCTTCAATATAAGTGTCACGAGGAAAACTAACAATCCACATCCAGTATTCCTCGATCAATGAACAGTTGAAGATGAAAATTAATATTATAGAGTAGAATAACCAATTATAAGCCAATTCAAAAGTCTATTCATCATAGACTCATTTTTGCCATGGGTGGATGAGACTTGAAAGGGAGAGAAAGTGAGTGAGTAAGCAGCACTGAGCCAACTCACCCAGTTCCTAAGCCCAGAGCTTTGTCACTCCCCCAAAACAGAATTTATGGCTGGTGAACAGTGAAATATTTGGGCTCAGCCCATCTCCCCAACTACACGGAGTCAGCTAAGAGCTGCCTCTCTTGCAGACATAGGCTCAGGTTCTCCATTAGATCAACAAAATTTTGTTCCAGCTTTAATTTTCTCCCCGAGTAGCTGCCAGGATATCCTTGAACACATAAACCCAATTAAGCCAACCTAAACTGATCATTAGGCTTTCAAGTATGTGTCTGCTGAAATTTTATAAGGCTGTAGTCTGCTTAAAGTTTCACCTCCTGCAGCCGCTCGCAGTTGACCCTGGGAGTCCACTGAAATAACAGAGAGACTCCTAAATTTCTGGAAGAGTCTTTGAGTTGTCTCAGAATTAGAGAAGCTGCCCAGATCACTGTGGCTCACAGGAAAATTGCTCCAAATTTCTTCTTTGCTCCTTCCAGCTGCTGAGGGGGCACCCACTCAGAACAGCTGTTGTAACTCTGACCTGACCTACACCTGTGGGCAAGTCAAGAGTGTGCAAGTGGAAAAGCACGTGAAGCAGATGTAGAAGATAAGCCTGTGCTTCTTCAGGCACCATTTGTCACCTTGTGGACTGGTTTAAATGTTCTGATTTATTCTCCCATTGCAAAAATGATCATGATCAGGCTGTGACCATGGAGATTTCATTCAGCAAGCACTACTACCCAGTGGAAAGTAAACAAAACCTAGTGCTTAGTGTCCCACTTCACCTCCCCACCCCAGTTACAGCTTATATAGGAAACTCACCTTCACACAAACACCTCTAGGTCTCCAGAACATGCTGGCTGAGTAACCAGTAACACCAAATAAACTGAATTTTTTGTATGAAGAGGGTATGCATGGCTCCCTAATTTTGCTGTTTTCCAGTGACCCTGCTCAGTCAGCTTTGTGACCACATTGTCAGAAGCCAGTTTCACTGACCCAAGCTAAGAAATCAACATCAGTTCTGCTCATCTGAGCTTTGTTTTCTTGCTACTGTTTAAGTTAATACTTAAACAGACTGCAGGGCTAGGTGTGCAGATGTATTGGAGAAGACCTAGAGGGATTTTATACATAGCCATGGGCCAACCCCAAGGCCACAGCCAATCTCTGTCCATCCTCATGCTCACTTTTCCCTGTCTTGTTAGACATTGTGAGCATCCTCTCTCTTTAAGTGCTGCATTTCTTCATCCTTTAGTAGGTTTTCTGTGATAATAAGTATCTCACATACAGTTTTGCTTAAGAGGTGTTTGCTTCTTTTGATTCCCTTCTGGGAGTACTCAACAACCATCTGGCTCAAGTCCTGCTTTCTTAAACTTGGGGATGTGCTGACTAAACTACATGATGAGCCAAATGCAGCCAAAAACATGTAAGAACTTTATTTAACATATCCCACTAGGAAAAAAAAAAACATGCAAAAATTAATGTATTATAGCAGAGGAACATAATAACATAATCTTTCATGGATCAGTTGGACTTTCAGGCCATCAATATCCATGGCCTCTACACTTTCATGTGCTGAATAAGCAATTCCCAATTATTTAAAGACATCCTTTGCCTGTTTGGAATCTGCTGTCTGGCTTCCTTTTGCCCAGTTGTTTTGATTTCTGTACTTCTGAAAGAATCTCCTCTATGGTTTGTGCAACATTGCATACAACCCAACTGAACAGGAATCCAAGGGCTGCTGCCAGTGACTGCTGAGAACGCAGGAGGGTGAAGAAACACAAAAGTCTGGCTAGATCCTGCATAATTTCATCTGCTTAAAGAAATATGTACAGAGGACTGAAATCAGAGGTGGAGTAAGAGGCAAGTCAGGGAAAGTACCTGTACCATTAACTAGTCTGAATTAAACAATCAAAATTGAAGATGGAATCACAAAAGGGAAATACAGCAAATGATGGCAATAAATGTGTACCTCAGGCTGAACCTCACCAACCTTATATATACTGAGTGGTTACATTATGACCTCAGTAACTGCCTGAGACTGGTTTGCACCATGGCAGGGGTTGAAAAAACAGGAAGGGTGAGTGGTAGTTTTCAAATATATATTTTTGTGTTTTAAAAAAAATTCATAATGATCTTTATAAAAGTCTAAATTTAAAAATTAATTTTAAAAAATTATATGGAGATTATATGTCTATATTTGTAAGTAATATGACTGTAGTTAATAATAATGTCTACAGTACTACACTTAGCTATTATTTCCTTGGCTTCCTTCCTTAAACTAAAGCCAGCTTGGTGGTTTGTACCCTTGTGGCAGCCAACAGGAAAGAGCAGTGAACATCCCATCACAGTATTGGCACTTACTGCCTTTGCTGAAACCTTGCATGATTGCACTGTACTGGTTGTATTGCCCAGAGGGCCATCACAAGTTTCCCTTCTGTGTTCTCCAAACACTCCCAGGTCATGCTGGCAGGGAACAGTGACTTCCAGGGAAATCAGAATGTTGAGCTAGTGATGAATTTGGTCCTGTGTAAAAAGAGACTGATACCCTTCTTTTCGCCCTGTCTCTCCAGCAGGAAATTCTTCTTTCCAATCCAATGATTCATAAAAATCTCTTCATCTTTTTTTGTGAAGCTCTCAGTCTCACAATGAAAAACAAAAGCTAAATCCTACAAAACAACATAAGGGAGATGCCAGTTATGATTAGGCTAAATTTAACACACTCTCCCATGTATGTTAATGTTCTATGTACATTGTGCAGCTAAAGGAGTAGATAGAAAAATAGGCTGGGATATGGAAGAAAATTAAGTTCATAGCAAAGACTGTTTCCCCAAAGAGAAAGACTGGGAATTGCTTCTTTCTTTCACTCCGGAAGAGTTGCCCTCCCCAACTCTATCTGACAACTTTCTGCTAGCTCCCACTGTTTTAGTTATCAGCTTGCTTTTGTTACCCTGCTCATAGGCAGAGAAAGCAAGCAGACAAGACTGGAAAGCAGTTGGATGAGAATCTGGCAGTGTTTCATGAGAAGCATATCCTAGAGAGCAACAGCAATCTAAATAAGGTTCGACTTCTCTATGTGCTTGTTTCAAGGACAGTTTGGCAGTTCCATACTTGCCATGTATGCTTTGCAGTTTATGCATAAACCTAAACTGCCTCCCTTCAGTGTCATACCACAAAGAAACAAATAATAATGGAAAAAGTTTGAGGGAAATAATTGTAAATTATAAAAATCATGTGCATCCAAAGTGATGTTTTTATATAAAGATTTTTGAAGCAGCCTTTTTACTCTCATATGTGAGAAAGGCAAAATGCTTTTTTTCATAACCAGTAACTATACAGATAGTTACTCTGGAATGGGGAGGGACAAACAAACCTAACGATGACAGATCTGTACAGAAAGCTGTTAGTATGCCAGATCTTATTACAGAGCAGTGGGAGGCCTTGTATGCTACGTATCAGCTCTATAGGGACCTCCATATTTAAAATGATAAAAAAAAGTGATTTGAAAAACCCCTCATGGGTAGCCTTCAAAGGCACAGACAGGTTCTGACTGGATTAACATTTATTGACTGTTTAAGCCTGCTTTTTTGCTTCAGGACAGAGATACACGAGTTTAATTGCAGAGGTTGTTCTGCCAACTGATCACTAGAGTGGCAACCAAAGCTTTACTAATCGGTCCTTCATTAAAGGAAAGTCTCTGTTACAAAACAAATTAAGCATGCTCTGATCCCAACCCGCAGGTCCAATGGCATTACAGCAAAGTTTAGGCTGCTAGAGCGCTGAAAAACTTATTAAGGTTTAGCGCTGAGATAGCACTTTTGTATTGATTTTACAATACACAGGTATTATGATTTATGGAGTGCTAGTGTCACTCTAACAAGCTGAAGGACACACAATATCATCTCCAACATCATTAAAATTCAGAAGCCTCTAGAACTAACTCATCAACCACTGTGCATTGTCACAGGCTATAGAGCTCTACTCCAGTTGGAAAATGCTGTGAGTTTCCCGGACAGTTGTCTTCCGGAATAATTACATTTAGAAAAAAGAAAGGGGGGCTGAGGGAAAGAGACAGAATTCAAACTCTGCGTATGTTTTAAAAAGCCCTTCCGTGAATGTGTGGTTCTATAGTAGCAGGCACTGGTTTGCCTGTTCGAGCCGGGCTGCTCCGGCTTCTGCTGCCCGCTCCAAGGCGCCGCAGAGCGCCAGGGCTCCCTGGGGATGCGAACCCCACGGGGACCGCCGGCCGCTGTCCTGCCTCGGTCTGTGTCCCGAATGCTTTATTTTCCCGAACTTTGGGTGCGCACCGCATCCCAGCCCTCCGCCCCGGCGGCCGCTCTCGCCCTTTTCACGGAAAAAGCCAAAACTCGGCGGTTCGGCATCGCGCTCCTTTCCGCCCGATGCAAACAGAACGCGGCGCCGCCACCTGCGGCTGCTCAGCACCCCCAGCCCGTCACCGCCGGCCCGGTCGTGGCTGCAGCTGGAGAGGGAGCGGGCGGGCCCCGGCCCGGCCCGGCGGCCCCTCAGCCCCGCGGCCCTCAGCGCC